GCCCATCCTGAGCACCTGTCCTGCCCTCACCAGACTGATGTCCACGCGTCGTCGGTCCACTGTGCTTGGGGTTCCCGGGAGCCTCTGGCTTCTGGAGGGGGGGGGTCCGCCCAGCTCAGGAAAACCTGGCCCTCAGGTCGGATTGGCTGGGACCCCAACAGACCCATCCAATGGGAGCCGTTGCGGGGCCGGACTGGGACGCAGGCGGGGACAGAGCAGACTGCCTCCAGGCTGGGACTGACGCCCCTCGGGGCCGCGCGCGCACACACACAGGCACTGAGGCGGACTTTGGCTGAGTCTCAGACTCAGGCTTTTAATCTCTGCGAAGCTGGGCTACTCCGCGGGCTCTCCCCGCCCCGCCCCCCCCAAAATATAAACTTATAGATAACTCTGGTCTCTACCGGAGAGGGAAAATCCCCCCGCCTGGACTTTCCAGCATTCTGCATCCTACAGTAGGGGTGCACAGCACCCTGGGGCCTGTAGGGGAAGAGGAGAAAGGGAAGGTGAGGTCACAGCTTCCAGGATCCCCACCAGGGCTAGGGCCAGGGCTAGGGCCAGGGCCAGGTCTAATACAGGTATACCTGGCCCCGCTGGGCTCCTCTGGACAGTTTGCCGACTGAGAGCAAGTTCTCTGCAACCTGCTATTCAAAGTGCTGGGAACTCGGCATGCTGCAAAGACAGAAAAGCCAGAGAGGACCTTGGGGGACTGTCAAGGACATCTGAAACCGAGGCTCTAAGTATATCACTGAAAAATACCTATTACATAAAACTTACGACTCTCATTTACAGTGTACCCCTTAAAGTAGTATTCAGTACATTCAACCCGTGAAATCACATCACCTCCAGTTCCAGAATGTTCTCATCACTTCAAAAGAAATCTTAAGCCATCAGCAGTCACTCCCTATTCCTGCACCTTCAGCCCCTGAAAAACCCCTTCCCGTCTTCACAAATTCACCTACTTGTGGACATTTTGTGGAAATGGAACCCTACAAAACAGGGCCCATTATGTCCAGTTCCTGGCACTTGCCATAACATTTTTAAGGTTGCCCAGGATTGCAGCCTGGTGGCTTCCCCTTCTGTGCCCTCTCCAGACCTGCTTCAGTCAGGCCTTCTCCAACATGTCTCCTCCCTGCCCAGACCCATGGGTCCTGTTCTCAGTCCTGCCTCCTTCTTGCAGCATATGACATATGGTCCCCTGCTCCTCCTCCCTCATCACCTTCTTCAGACAGCATTCTGGACGCTCCTGCCTTTTGCTATTCTACTGTCTGACTTTGGTTCTTCTTTTTCTTAACAACTTGGGCTGTCTCTTCATTTCTATTTACTGGTGACCTCCATCAGTGACCCTTCCACAGGCAGTGACACCCCAAATTGCTTCCTCTGAATTCCAGAATCCTATTATCCAACTACTACCCCATGGCTTCCCTGACCATCTCAGAATTGAGATGCAGCACAAAATTCACAATCTTCTCCCCAACCTCTTTGATCCCCATGATCCCTCTGCTCTTAGCTCCCACCCTTGCCCCTCTGCATTCATACCCCTAGCCAGAGAGCCCTTTCAACGTAAATCAGTTCCTGCCATTATTATTTTTTTTTTTTTTTTTTGGGGGAGGGATACTGAGGATTGAACTCCAGGGCACTTGACCACTGAGCTGCATCCCCAGCCCTATTTTGCATTTAGAGACGAGGTCTCACTGAGTTGCTTAGGATCTCACTAAGTTGTTAATGCTGGCTTTGATCTCAAGATCCTCCTGCCTCAGCCTCCCAAGCCACTGCAGTTACAGGTGTGTGCCAACGCACCCAACATCTTTTTTTTTTAATATATATATTTTTAGTTGCAGATGGACACAATACCTTTGTTTATTTTTATGTGGTGCTGAAGATCAAACCCAGTGCCTCACACATGCTAGGCAAGCACTCGATCACTGATCTATACAGCCCCAGTCCCAGTTCCTGCCACTCTTGTGCCCCAAACCTTCTAGTTTATTCAGCATCAAAAGCTACAATCCTTAAACTTTTCTGCAAAGTTCTGTATGATGGGACCCTGACTGCATTTCCCACATCTGGACTCCTGGACTCACTCGGCACACACAGGCACTCTGCTCCTGCCTTGGTACTCAGCAGAGGCCTTCAGGTGTTTACACAAATGACTCCAGCTCCATACTGCCTCCCTGGCCACCTGCACTATGGTGGGCCTGTCCCTGACTTGTCCCTGCCCACTAGGTGCCAGCAGCATACCCCATGTTCACCCTCACTGTTGGATGCTGCATCCCTCCTGCCTAGAACAACACCCAGACAGAGTCAGTAAACACTGATGCTAGGCAGGTTAGCTCAGCAGGCCCTGGGCCCTGGCGACAACCCCCCAGATATACATAAACATAGAGTCTATCTAAGGTGACATCAGGGAACAGATCCCCACTCTCCTGCAGACTAAGGAGTTGACAATAAGCATGAGCAGCTGATCCCAAGTACCTGGGCGATGGGTGAAAGGAGCCCTGTTCTTCCGTTGTTATCTCTGCCTTGGTGACCACATCACTCCTATCGTCAATTTCCAAGAGCACAGGCCGGAGAATTTCCGAGGATGACCCCGCCTTGGCCAGAGGATGCTGGCTCAGCATGCTTTCAGGTTCTTGAGATATTCTCCTGGCCAGCTGGGGCGTCCTGACCGAGCCGGGAGTTCTAACTGAGCCGGGCGTTTTGACTGAGGCAGGCTTGCTGACTGTGGTGGGCGTCTTGACTGAGCCAGGCTCGCTGATTGTGGCAGGCGTCTTGACTGAGCCGGGCTCACTGACTGTGGTGGGCACCCTGACTGAGCCTGGCGCACTGACTGTGGTGGGCGCCCTGACTGAGCCGGGCTCACTGACTGTGGTGGGCGCCCTGACTGAGCCTGGCGCACTGACTGTGGTGGGCGCCCTGACTGAGCCTGGCGCACTGACTGTGGTGGGTGCCCTGACTGAGCCTGGCGCACTGACTGTGGTGGGTGCCCTGACTGAGCCTGGCGCACTGACTGTGGTGGGCACCCTGACTGAGCCAGGCGCGCTGACTGTGCCGGGTGTACTGATAGTGGTGGGTGCCCTGACTGAGCCAGGCTCACTGATTGTGCCAGGTGCCCTGACTGAGCCAGGCTCACTGACTGTGGCGGGCGCCCTGACTGAGCCAGGCTCACTGACTGTGGTGGGCGCCCTGACTGAGCCAGGCTCACTGACTGTGG